ACCAGAAGGATCACAGAAGGCACGAGCTAATCATGAGATCTCAGTGAGACACATTGTGAGACTCGAGACTCCGGACAGAGACTCGTCAAGAAGAAATGAATCGCGTGCAGAATGCGATGTGGAAATGTACCGCCCCAGGTCAGAGGTACAGTACGTGCATGTACTTACCTCTCAGCTTGTGGCAACGGGCACATCCTAGTGACTTCGCAGTGTCCAGCGCGAGGCTTCTGTCCAACTTGCAGGACGCTAGAACCATCAAAACCACTCGCACTGCTTGCGACGACCTGAGTTTGCATCCCAACTTGATTATCATCGATGTCGCAGCTCTTGAGCCTCCCGATGCTGTAAGTTTTCCAATTCCTAGAATCCTAGAATGATAGGGCGAGTGGGTCCTAACGAGTTCTACTAACGGGAATTTGAAGAAGACAGAGTGAGTCGCAGCAATTTCCATGACCTGGAAAAGTCTTCCTTGCTGTTGTGGGTGTCTGGTGTGCAGTCGTGGCCGCTGCACCTAGCAGAGGTCCTCCGGACACTAGAAGCCGTGGCTTGCGGCCTGCATTGGAAGCTTTCGCTGTGGCGCGCCGGCCCGACTTTTCTCGTCAAATGCCTGCTGGCGCAATTTCCACGGTCATCAGCAAGTTACCAGGACTGTCTCAGCTGCAGCAAGGAACGGCTGGCCACGTGCTGGGTGTTTATCTTCGGCTGATGCTGTCCTTTGTCTACACATTACGACTTCTTGTTGGGGTGGAGCTTGGCCAACCGCTGCATTACTCCCAATGTAATTCAACTGTGATCCTGTCGTTTCAGTTCTCCGCCTTTCCCGGCTCCTCTGCCTTGTCACTTCTCTTCGCCTCCTAGCGCGCGCAGTTCTCGGGTGGGGAGACTCTTGAGCAAGTCTGCCTTCGTTCAACTCTTGCTTCAGATCCTGAAGCCGATGCTAAACGGCGTGCGCATGCCGACCAAGAGCACACGAGCTCTGCACACGGCGCTGCCAGGGCCATCTGCCCCAATAACAATACGTAACGCTTCCGTACTCGATGCCAAGCAGAAAGACTGAGACCAGACACAACGAACGTCTCAGACTTCTGGAGAAGAGAAGGCTAAGGCTAAGGATTCGCTACTTCTTCAAATGAAATCGCTCTGTCCGTAGGATCACATGCGCCAAGTTGGAGAGGCGCAGATGGAAAGGGCAGCCTTTCACATGCGAAAACAGAGACCGTTTCTCAAGGTGCTGCACGTGGAGATCCTGATGGACGACAACGATCCTCGCAGATCCAAGGCTCCCATGTTTCGATGGATCTAGGGAGGTAGTTGGAAGTGCGTGTCACTCGCAGGCTTTTTTTGAGAGCTTCAGCTGCAGAATCGGGATTGGTTTCGAGCTGTCGGTGCAGGTGGTCCACTTGTTTATCTTTCGCGTTTTTTTGCCCCGTAAACGCCCACCCAAAAGCTATAGCAGATGCCTATAGTCCGGTCCGTCCATGTCCGTCCATCGGTGTCCGTTTCAACGATTCTTAACGGAGCTTGAGCCCCTATTCGCCGGAGCGAGGGCTGCGGAGTGGTCGAGTTTGCCACCTTCGGTGCCGCGCGACGAGCCTTTGACTCAGTTTGTTCCGCGATGCTCGGTTAGTCACACAGTTCATGGCTCGGGCAGCTTCTTAAAGCGTCTTGCATTGCATTGCTTTGTCATGCCCTTTTTTGCATGTGTTTTCCTCCTTTGGGGTTTCTGTCTTTGTGGTCCACGACATTGATTTGATCGCTTGAATTTCGTGCTAGCAGATCTGTTGTTCGATGTCTCATCGTTCACATGGAATCGCACGGCACGGGAGAAAGAGGTGGAAAGTTAATCTAAAGGTCGTGGGGTCAGGGGAACCCCTCCACATTAATTGGCAACGGAAAGGTAAGGCCGGGACAGTCTGAACATGGTTGCTGGCCGGGGGACCGGAAAAGCTCGCTTACCGAAGCCGCTGCAATGAGTATGTTGGGACTGTTTGGTCCGTTTGGTGCTGCAGGGAGGTTGCTGCCTGTGTCCAGACGAGTTTGCCTTGTCTGCATGTTGTAGTGCGGTGTTTGTTGCAAGCTCTGCACCCGCCCCAACCCCCGGAGCAACGGAAGGAAAATGGGAGAGGCCTCTGGGAAAATGGCAGCTGCTGTGAACATGCCAAGGTGGCATGCACGGTTCCCGGAGTGGAGGGAGGATGAGGGAGAGACAGACAAGGACTTTCAACAGAGGGCAGTCGCAACTAAAGTGCGGAGAACTCGTAAGCAGGGCGATGGCACAGTGAAGGAAATTCGACGATTCTGATAAGGCCGTCCAGTACCTCCACGACTCGATGCTGCAAGGCCATCAAGGGTGAAGCGCCCATCGAATTGAAGCTCCGATGTTGCTATGGGGAAATTCTCGTGTTTGCGTCGTGCTAGATTTGCTAGATCAGAATCCCGCAGCATGGAGGCAGGCTGATGTATGTGCGGGAGTATCATGACGATCTGAAGAATGCGGGAGGTCCAGCGCTGACTGCCAGATCCTCCAGTCTGCTAATAAGACATTCTGAAGCTTGCAGGTGCAACCGCAACCAAGGCAATGGCCTCAGAACAATTTCCAGCCTGCACGTTTCTCCTACCTGAGCGCAGGATGTCAAAGCAGGACAGAAGTTCCGCGTGAAGGCAACCCAATGCTGTTCCGCCTGCTTCACGGAGCGTGCATGTCGCACCGAATCAGTTAGTTGTAGGGGCATCGACAGTGCAGAGGTGGGCAATGTGGCTTCAGGGACCCGCTGGCAGGACCTGAAGGAGCCAGAGCAGCTCAGCCCGACTTTTGCAAACGTTTCGGTTTCGGTGAATGGCGATTGCACTTTTAACCGTCTCGGTCCGGGTGTTATGTGGGAACAGGTAGTGGCTTGCGGAGAGGAGCGACGCATGCCTCGTGCTCTAGTGACTCTAGTGATTCTAGTATTGATCCTCTGGCTTTGGCTATGTTTGCTGGCAGCAAACCGTCTCCTTGTGGCTAGTTAGGCTAGTTTGTAGTTGAGCCCACCGCCGCCCCATTCGCCTCCTTGAAGTTGATTTCTTTCAGGCTTGGGGTAGGCTGGACGGATTTGGCTGCGCATCCTGCAGCAACATTGTGTGCTTACCGGCTGCAAGGGGTAGGGTTTCACGGCGTTTGAAAGGGTAGGTGGGTGGGCCTTCTGTGACAGTATAACTTGGGAGACGTCTGGAACCTCGTTTCGAGGATTTCTTGAGTTCCCAACCATGACCTGTGAGACCATGTCGGACGTGCGATCAGCTCGCATCCGATTTGGTGCCCCTAAGACATATGTTGTGCGCCCTTGAACTTGGAGCCGCCGGCCGCCGCCTATGTACCGCGGGAGGGACCGGTGTTTGCAGCTGCCATCAACAACGACTGGGCCACGTTTCCAGGCCCATAAATGTCAAAAACCACTGACAAGAGACAGTGCTCCAACGAGCAGTGGCAAATTTTGAAAAAGCTCTGGTGCTTGGTCTGGGTATGCCTGCTGCATCAGACGATCTTCGCAGAGAAATGGAGCAAAAGTTCCTATGACAGGGATGCAAAATCCATCCGTCTGCAGGGTAAGATGTAAGAGACAAGCAGGGTTGCAACACCCTGAGATGCACATTGTGGTCCAATGTGGTCCATGTGGTGCTGCATTTGCCCGCTCCCCTGGTCATGCGTCCCCGCTCTTGGCACGAAGCTGCTTTTCCTTGCTTTGTGACAGGATTCCCTAGAGGTCAGCAAACAACTGCTCCGTTCCAGGACCACTTGAAGTCCGCCGGTGACGTAGCTCACGTGGCGACTTGCCAAGTTGTGACGCCTTGCTCGAAGCTGCCCCCTGGCTGCCGTGGAAAAAACTCTGAGGCAATGCTCCCCGGAGCAGGCACCGGGGCTGCCACGGCTGCTTACACGCCTGTACCTCGGAGTTCCGATTCACGCGTCGGAGGGTTGCAATCTCAAGTAGGACGTTTAAGTTTGAGGGCATAAAAATTCAAGCACTAGGAGTGTGCGGTGCTCACCTCGTCTGCTCGTTTTTTCTGTGAGAAGCCCTTACAATCAAGTTCAGGCCATCTGCAAACAATGCTTTGCCAGCCAGACCTGGTTGGCCTGCTTCTGTCTTCGCGCCGCAAGCACGCCGAGATTTCGCGCAGTAATGATTCCGGCAAACCTACACTGATCTATGCTGCTTATCATGTGTCCGCAAACAACGCTTTGCAAAACAGAACAGTGAACTCGTCACGATGTTGATGATATTATGAGCTTCGCCTGGTCAGGGGTTCGACGACGTCGGCAAAGCGCTACAGAATACGCGTACATGAAGTCGACACCGGAAATGAGGTCGGAAGAGGCAGCGATCCGAGCGGCCGCCACCCTCGATGGATCCTCGTTCCGAAACCAGGCGCAAAAGCAGAACTACCGTAGAAATCAAGCGAGAGAAATACTCCCCGAAAAGAAGCATCAGATGTGGTGCAGGTGCTCAGCGTCGAGGTGATTCCGAGTCCTGTGCAGGTCCGGGTCTGGGCATGTCTGGGCCTGGGCCGGCCGCTCCTAGGGTGGAACCGCCGAGTCCTGTGCAGGTCACGGCCTCTTTATGAGCCGGGGCAGAGCTGGGCAGAGCTGGGCAAAAGCCGGTAGCTTCTTAGCGCCAAGATGCGTCGATGGGGTGCACCCTTCTTCCGCATCGTTCCCCAAGTAGCTGCTAAGTCTGTTCAGGTCCGCCTGCAGTACCCAGGGTTTGTAGTTGCCAAGCATTGCCAAGCTCTTGCCGTGCCAGACCCGCTGAGCCTTTGACCACTCTTCTCTAGTGCAGTTCAACTGGTCTTGATGGCCGTCGGTGCGCTGACCTGATCCCTCAACCTTTCCTGACACTCATCCAATATCAGCATCTCCCGCCACCCTCATGTGCCCGGAAAGCATGCGAACGAGAATGCAAACACACGATGCTAACATCAGCAGACTAGATCTACGCAGAGCCCTATCGCTTGTCTTGACGATGCCGGCTGCCAATGGAAGTAAGCCTCGCAAGCAGGCGAACAGTGCTCGCAGCATCAACTGACTGCGAACCTGTGCGGCCTGTAGGATGAAACCCAGCAGTCCTTCTTCGAGGCGTGGGGCTGTGACGCAGGTTTGAAAAGGGCGCAAAGCTCATGAGCTCCAGTGCTTTTCCCGCCGCAGTCGCTGTATGCTGCACTGGATGCAGACGCCAACGAAATTGCGGATGGCCAGGCCCTGAGTCAGCCTGCACGGGCGTGTTACTGCCCGTGTTCCGGAATGAGGGGCCTCATGCAGCTGCATGCAGTGAGTGCTTATGATTACATCAGATAACCAATGCCGACAGACTGCACGATGCTTTCATCTCAGGTTTGTTCCTTGGGGCGGCCAAGGCCTGCCCTCGAAAGCCAGTTCGAAGCATTTTTTGGTGATCAGTAGTCTTTAGCTGTACACTGTCAGACTGTTCAAGCGGCGAAGCTTCAAACCCGTGGGGTCAGCAGAAAGGCCGAGCAGAGGTCGAACAAGGGCAAACATGATTGGATGCTCTTTGCAGCCTTGGCCAAGACCCTGAATCTGGCGAAGGGCAAGGATCGACCGCTGGGGCAAAGTGGCAACAGCTACGAGATCGAAAAGCAAACTGCTGTACTGAAAGCTATTTTGCAGTGAACCCCCTCCAAAAAAGAAGCTGTCTTGGGTTGCGGCGGCTCACCAGTCAAATCTCAAAGCTTGGATCGGACAAGCCATGCATCCTTCCTTTCGATGACGGGGTGGACTCAGCAAGACCTGTCTTGAGTGGAGTGGCCTGCAAAGGAACAGTAAAGTTCCGGTTCGGTTGGGTTCGATTGGGTTCGCTTGAACCGGTATGAACCGGACGGCGGTTCTGAGCGGGTTCGGTTCTTGTGCGGATCGTTTCGCGGTTCCTACTGGGTCCGCGGTTGATCCTCTTCGACGAGTACAAGTCGGCTGGTTACAGGAACAATGTCTTGGAGATAAGCTTGAAACAGTCCTTCAACCCCACAGCACAATTTCACCCTTCAACCTTGAGGCTTTTAGGATCCTTGCAAGAAGGTCAGGGGTCTTTTAGGCTTGGTAGCTTTAAGGGGCCCGGGACGCGGGGGAGTACAGGTTTTGGAACGTTGGGGGCCTGAAAGTGCCGAAAACATGTACTCCCCCGCGCGTCCCAGATTCCCAGGGTACCTGCAAGGGTACTTACCTTCCAGATTTCGGGTTTAGGGGGAGGGGAACGGTTCGGTTCACGGTGCGGTTCCGGGCGGTTCGCTGCAAGGGTTCGGTTCGGTTCATGGCGGTTCGGTTTCTGCGGTTCGGTTCGGTTCCAGAACCTTACTGAAAGGAAGAATTTCGCCACTGCTGTAGATGAAAACCCGAACCGGTCACATTCGCCTGCTTGGCCTGCACATTTGCCGGTGCTGAGCCGGAGCAGCATTGCGTTTCTTCCGACACTTTTTCGCTTATGCGAGAGGTTTGCGTGGGGTTGCAGGCAAAGTCAGGCAAAGGAAGTGGACAGCCCCGCTCGAATTGACCACGCCCGAAGATGCGTCCGACTTGCATGAGGCGGTGGGGTTTCTGCAGCATAGAAACCCCAATGTCCTTCATTGTCCTGCCTTTCCCTGCTGCGTTCCTTTTTCCTTGCCTCCTCCCTTTTCCCTTTGCCTCGATCTTTGTTTTCCTCTTGCTTTCCACGACCAAAATACTTGGCAGGCTCCATACTTTCCAACTCCTGTGCCCGTTGCCTTCTCCAAATCCTCTTGCGCTTCCTCCTGCACTTTGTCTCCTTTTTCCGGTAGCGTTCCAACTTCCATAGATGTGTGTCCGCCGCAGCTTGTAGTGGTGAAAACGGATCTTGAATCTCGAGGCAGCCTCTGACAAGGCGGCGATGAAGAAGCGGAAGATTTCTCATGTTTGCAGCCAAGGAAATTTCTCTTTAGACTCATATGCCCACTCGACCTGCAGTCCCTCACCAGTCTGTGGTCCAGATCGCAAGCCTTTGAGGTGCTCATCGCGCACCCAACCATGCCGGAGAAACACCCGCAGCACTTCAAGTCCGGCACAGCAGGAGATCGGAATCAGAGATGAAGCCTGCAGCTTTTCATGAAACGAGGTATGGCCGGGCACCCCTGGTCGATCTGCCAGCTTTCAATCTGCCACGGCCCAAGACAGCCAAGACAACCTTGAAGCTTTTGGCTGGCTAAGTGAATCCAATGTACTATCAGCGAGAACTGCAAGGCTGGTAGAACCTGAAGTAGCATTACACTTGGCATATCTATAACTTCTATGGATGCGTATGCAATGAAGAGATGTGAGCTAAGAGGCCTACGAGAACCTACGTCAATGTTTAAACATCGAAACATGCAGCAACAACCATTGGCGAGATGAGCAAGTTCCGGTCGGTACAGTGCAGGAGGACGTTTGGATGCCACCTCAAACTTTTGTAGGATCCTTGGTGCTGGCACTTGCGGCACTAGCGCATTGGTGCCTCGGCACGGGACATTGATATGAACAGTGCACTCTTCCAATAAAGGCCAGGCTGAAGAGGCAGAACGCCAAGCGAACGAAGCGCCCAGCGCAGCCTTCGGCCATGTTGCGAGATGTTGCGAGGTTGGAGCAGATCCCCGATGCCATTTCCTTCCTGCGAGAGGCACAGGGTTTTTCTGGAGCGACTGGGCCTGGTGGACATTCCAGGATTTGCCCTGCTTTGCTTCTCATTTTGTGGCACTTCGGAGACGGTCCGCCGCTTCGCTGAGAGCAGTCCGAGCTTTGATCCCTCCTGCGTCTGCCTTCCCTCACGGCAACACGGCCATGGCAGCGATGCGCGCCTTGAGCAGGCTGGAGCCCCACACTTTCAAGAGGACACGGCACGGAAAGCAACCGAGGCAGTTCCTTCAGACACCACGCACCCTGGCACGTCATGCGCCTGCTGCATCCTTTGCGAGTGCACAATTCAAGGCCTCCACGCAGATTTCAGTTGTCCCGCTTTGGTCGAGCATGATTTCTTGCGACAGCACCATGGCGAGCTTCACCGTCTTGCATTGTCTTGCGCGAGGTTTGCATCAACGGAGGTGCAGGAGGAATCGGGCAACCATTGAGCATGCTAATGTCTATGAACGATTCGGTGAAGGAGGCCCGGTACCCTACGCAGAATCTGCGAAAAGTGCTGCAAGCCTGCCGCGCCGGCCTTCCAGGTTTCCATCCAGGATGTGACAATGGCAGCTGCCATGCTCTAAGCAAGTGGATGTGAGTCCACGCGTGCAAGTGCCGCAAGCGTGCACAGCATGGAAATCTCATTTCCGCCGAGGTTCCTCCTGCAGGAGTTGCTGCAGACCTTGGACATCTCGAGTATCCCAGCAAGGCTTCGAGTCCAAGTGCTTCTGAAGGGTCGGAGCATAGACCAAGGCACTTTGCGATGTAGGGGTAGGGGAGGCAGCGGGATGTAAGGTGGGAGAAGGTTGGGACATGGACGGGCCATGGCACACGTCGCCTTCAGTAGGTTGAACTTGCTCAAGTCCTTGCTTTCTCGGGCTTCGGCGACTCCGGGGTGAGAGCATGTAGGGCATGTAGGGTCACTGCCAGCGACTCAACGCGTAGCAACTGAGCGATCATCGTGCATGTCACGGGGTGAGTTGGAGGGAACTGTGGGTGAGAGCCTTGACTGGCACACAGGGTTTCAGTGGGCTAGTATCAGATTTGTCGGATGCCGTACATGCCTGCCAGGCTCACATAGAGAGAGCACTGGTTCTGCAGCTATCTGCAGCTAGTACTCCCAGATTCTCGCCGACATAGCCCCCGCCGCCCCAAGATCATGCTCATGATGCTGCCCAGAATGAACAACACGACTGCCAGCCGTCCGAGCTTCCAATGATGTTTTGTAGAGTGGGGTATGTCGGTGCCACCGTGCAACAGCTGAAGCTTCATACATTCGTGCGAACCACGACGCCGCTACACCCCTCTTTCGTAGCACCATCATGCCTGTGGCAGCAATTTCATCGCTACGTGCTACTGTGCCGCCTGGATCCCAAGCTCGTGTGTCGAGAGTCAATTCAGCATCACACGCCTTCGCCGTCATCAGACTCGTGGTAAATTCGCGATTACTATTATTATGACGATCGCACTTGCCATACTCTCATGACCTCTCTTACGGCTGCTACTAGTATTACTGCCAGTTTTGTCAGTGTCAGTAGTAGCATGAAAAGTATCGTGTTACTCGGATTCTGACACTGTATTATTAGTACAGTACTGTTAGTTTTAGCAACCATGCGAACAACGACAGCGCCAGTATTCGGAACTAGTGCGAGCAATTTCGTAGAACTCCCATTTCGCTGGTTGGGTAGTCCGGCCGATGCTTTTCGGCCCACCCAGGGCATGAAACCGTGAAGCGTTGGCTTACTCTCCAAATTAGCCGTCCATAGAGCATCCCTCCAGCTCTGTCTCCACAAACACAGATGGCAGGGTGGGTAGGGAGTCCAGGGAGACGCGCAGGCCACAATTGGAAGGCTACTTAAAGCAGACAGGTGCGGATGGAAACGGTATCGAGGAAGCCTTAAGAGGCCATATAAAACGAAAAAACATGGGCAAGGGCTGGGGCGCTGAGGATATGAGGAACGCAGGGAGTGTATCGATGCCACTGGCTTGGTTAGAGCGCAGGCTACCTTTCGGATGCTAAATCTAAGAGAATAAAGCACCATAAGCACCAGTGCCATGATGGACTGCCCCATCGGAGAGAAAAGACAGCTCGGAAAGGCAGAGAGGGCGGCGGAAAGGGGGGAAAGGCCGTTGAAATGACGAGAAGAACATGAAGGCTAGGATGAGGATCCGGAAAAAGCGACAGGGAGGGAAGGGGGCGCGAGCCACCACTGGATGCTCTAATGTAAGAACATGAAGGGCGAAGGACGGATCAGGACCTCGGCAGCTTTGGCTCCAGCGGCGGCCCCTGCATCACACTTCGCCCCGAAAATCCGCAAAGATTAGAGTCATCTGGCGGCACGGTTATTAGTTTTTCTTAGGCTTCGTCATCATGTGCGTAGCCAGTTGTACTTCCGCAGGCGATGCTTTGGAAGCTCACTGTGCTCTTAGTGTGGCTCCCGTAGTGTGGCATCTGCGTCCATGTAATCATGGCACTGACTACGCAAGGGCTGCATGGGGCTATGACTCAAGTTCGACGTCTCACACGTGCGCGATGCCTGGGTCGCACCGCTCGGCATATTATGGAAACCGAGAAGCTTGAGCGCATCTTGCGGCGTGATAAGAGAAATCCCTATCTAGGGGCAGTCAAACGCCCGCCACGGCAAGCAACCCAGTCCGTGAGTTTCCTGCAGATGTTTCCTCGAGAGATGCTGGACTGGAGCTTTGACGATCTGGAGCAAGAGGTGAAGTCGGGTGGCAAGCAAGCCGCACGTGCGAAGATCGCCTTGCATTGGCTTCTGAGCCCTCTCTTTGACAAACCGACCTGACGGGATTCAATCTCGACACCACCACGCAAGCAGTCAACGCCAAAAAGTTTGACAGACCGCCTACGGCACATGCACATGCCCGCTGCGCTGATGCTGAGCCAGCTTCAAACATTGATGTTCGGATGTGTTGGTGTTCTTGTCGCATCTGCATGGCGAAAAGCTTCGCGCAATGATGCATCGTGTTCTTATATGTTCTTATGTTGCCTTTATGTTGCGAAACCCCAGCCTGTCACGAAGAGTCCTGATTGCGTGCAGGTGGTTGGCTATGCCACCGATCCCTCGAAGCCCGCTGTGGATCAGCTAGAAGAGTGCCTCACAGGCTGCCACCTGGTCCTCGTCCCTGCCGGCGCACCTCGGTGAAATGTTGCGCATTTCATGTCACATCAGGCGGAGCTAGCGTAGCGATCCGAGGTGCCGAGAAAGCCCGGCATGACTAGAGACGACCTCTTCAACGTCAACGCTGGCATTGCAAAGGGTGTTGTTGAAGCTTGTGCGAAGTATTGCCCAGATGCGGCCACGGCCTCAAGGCTTGCCGCGGTTTGCCATGCAGCTGATCGGCTGAGCGAGTCTGTGCGGTAAGGTCATTGGCCTCATCGTGAATCCAGCACCATGGCTCCGTGCGGCCCCATAGCACTTGAGAGGACTCTCTGATGAGCTGCAGGTAAACTCTATCGTGCCTGCAATGGCCGAATTTTACAAGAAGAAAGGCCCGAAGCGGTGGACTAAATTAAGCATGGAATCATGCTTCATGCTTGCATGGCTCCGAAGCGGCACGGTGATGGAGGCCTGGACCCGCTGAAGATTGTGGGTGTCACTTCCCTGGACATCGTCCGAGCCAACAAATTCGTCGCCGAGCTGACTGGCAAGTCGCCGGGGGAGATCGAGGTTCCGGTCATCGGCGGCCATGCCGGCGTGACGATCATGCCAGTCTTTTCTCAGGACACATCCTATCATGGCCTAACCACGGCCGAGCGCGGCTGCCATTAGTGATGAGAGAGATTCAGGTGTCTTCTTCCTGCCAAGAGGACCCTGCTGCCGCGACCATTTCAACGGACAAGCGTGCTGGCTGCACCCCGAAAACCTATGTCAGCACATTCTAACTACAGTATGGCTTGGGATGAGCCAAGGATTCCGGCATTGGACAAGCGCACGCAAGATGGCGGCACCGAGGCAGGATCCGTCTTCCAGTCGAGAACAAAGGACAAGAAGCTCTGATTCGGGCAATTGACAGGTGGTCGAGGCCAAAGCCGGCAAGGGTAGTGCGACGCTGTCCATGGCCTACTCGGGCGCACGTTTCGGGAACAAGGCCAATTGTTTTCTGCTTCGCATGGCTATCATGCTGGGGTCTTTCCGCGCTCGCCCGCAGGTTCTGAAAGGATTGGCTGGCACTCCGACTGATGAGTGTGCCTACGTGGCTTCCACTGTCACGGAACTTCCCTACTTCTCATCGAAGGCCACTCCTCAACTCCCGTCATGCTGTGCTGCGGAGTTGCGGTCCGAACGAGCATCCGAAAATGCGGACGGCAATTGCAGTAATGCCTATACCTGCACAGCCAGGTGACTTTTGGAACCAAGGGAGTTGAGAAGATCCACGGCATCGGCACCCTGAACAGCTACGAGCAGGGCCGACTAAAGGAGGTCCATTGTCTAGCCATAGCCGTAAAAGTACAGTGAGATCTTCAACTTCTCTGCTCTTTGGGCCGCAGGCAATGGACCAGCTCAAAACGGAAATTGACAAGGGCCTGGAGTATGCCAAGGCTAATTTCTAAAGCTTCGACATGAGAACCGAGCCTTTCGGTCGCAACTTGTAAGCCAGATCATGACAACATGTTCTGGCTATCCTAACGGCTGTGCAGACGCCTGAACATCCGGGCCGTTCCGCATTGATTTAAAGAACTCGTGTCCTCAGCAAGACGTGGACTTCACTGGCTGATTTTGCATCATCCCTCGGGGAGGTGGAGTTGCCGACGCTAGATGAAAAAAGTTGACCGTCCTCTTGCTTAATCGTGTGATGAATCATACGATGCTGCATGCTTCCGGGGTGTCACTTCCGCTTGAAGGCACGCTCCAAAGGCGGCAAGGCCCGCAGACACAGCATCGCATGTCTCGAATTAGTTATAGATCGATAGATCGAGAGGATGCTCTGCTAACATGACGGCAGGTGTTCTGCTACTGCGCGAAGGGCATCTCGCGAAGCTCCAGCCTCGTGATCGCAGTCCTGTCCTGCATTAAAGAACCGTTTGTGTCTCTCAAGTGTACGTGAATGCTGTTTTCACTGTGGTGCTGGGAGATTTTGCCACCTTGCCCGGAGCTTGCACTTCAAGAATTCCTGCATTGTACTGCAATGGCGGCCGGGCGGCACCTGGACTGCGAAGAGAGCTCCGATTCCTCCGAGACTGGAACTTTCACGCATGAGCAGATGCAGGGGCCACCCATGGCTTCGGACCTTTGGCCTGGACATGGGCTTCAGAAGTCGCTCTGCTTTTTGCATACTTCCTTGTCATCGCCGATTGGTTGCCGAGGTGCACAGCCCTCATCACTGCTGGCTTTGCTCTCTGCGATCTCACCAGACGCACCCTCCCTTTTGTTGGCAAACCTGGAACAAGCCTGGCCGGACATGCGAGACTGAAAAGCTTTGCGCGGACCGCCTGCAAGGACAGCTGTCCCGCGTGACAGTCCTTTCACCATAGAACACACCGGCTCTGCAATGAGCAGAGAGCAGCAGCTTCTTGTCAGCAGTCTCCTCACATTCCAGGTAGTCCCGCATCCTGGATTCAGGTCGAGCACTGGGGTTTTCGCTTTCACAGCTCGCGGTTGAGATTTCGGCCCACCTTCCCGCCCCGCTTCCTCGAAAGAATCAGCAGCATGTCCTTTGCGGCTAGCAGGAGACACCACTCCTTGACGAGGAGAGCAACGACTTGTTCCTGCTGCTCAGGGGCATGACAACCGTGACCTAGCTCAGAAGGAGCTGATTGGCATGATGGCAGTCTCTAAAACAGACGAAGCTTCCGGAAACCCTCAGCCCTCTTCAATGAAGGCCCTGCATGCGAGACAGCACAAACCATGCCATGGATCTCGACAGTCGGAAGATGATTGCTTCCCCACCCCAAATTCGGTGAGCCTGCCGAGCCACCATGTGACACCTACGTTGTATCATTCGTGCTTTGTGTGCTGGTCTGCTCTGACCGTGTTTCCTCAGAAGTCAGAACCTGAGTCCGGCAACAGTTGATTCAAGCTCCGCCGTACTCCGCCGTTACAAGTACTGAAGAGCCGAAGCTCACAGCGGAAGTCCACCAATAATCGCCGGTCGGGCTGTCAGCCTGGAGAGTGTCGACGGGGTCTTAAAGCTTTGCGACAAGTCGAAGATAGTTCAGCGTTTTCACAGACGGTTTGCATGGCTGAAATAAGTGATGCGTGCCTAAACGGTGCAGCATACAGTACAAGGTATACCTGAAAGACTTCCGGTTCATTTCTGTTTTGGCTGCGGCTACGAGCATTCATTTGTGTGCATATCGGGTGTGGCCTTCTGCAAGTGCCCTTTTTTTGTTTGTGAGATTCTCTTGCTCAGGTCAGCTTCTGCACAGGCACTCCTCCAATTCCCTGGCTTCGAGAAAGGCTTGCAGCGGTCTTGGCCGCAAACCCCTGGCTAGCAGGAAGCCTCAGCAGGACCTCATCTGAGGCCTGAAGCCGGGGACAAGAGGGGTCCGATTCTCTGCAAATTCGCCGATGAACAATTAAACAAAGGCTGCAGATTTGCAAAATTAGCAAAAGCAGCATGTGCAGCAGTTCTCACAGGCAGAAACTGGGCTGAAATCAACCAACAAGTCAGCAAGTAGGCCACAAGGACACAACTTGAAGAAGAATCCATGTCATCCAAGATCTAATCCGGACATCGTTTGCCAGCTTCACGGACTTGGATCCTCTCTCTCAGTCAGGGTTGCCTAGCATCCTTCCGAGTCTGGCTTGCGACACCAGGATCGCGTGTGTCTTCGGTATGAGGAAGACACACGCGAAGAAGCCGGGCATGAACTCTTACAAAGAATCGGGTTGCTCAGTTGCAGAGAGCTCCCAAAGCACCGCGCGGCAGCCGAAGCCTGTTTAAGTGGCAGTGCTGCGAGCCACCTGAGGCCTGACATACTTGACATACACCCCGACATGCCCTACGACATTCTGACGAAGAAAGTGAGTGGCTCCTGTGCTGAAGTTCCGTCAGAGGCCCAGGCACTCAAGGCGTGCGGGCCGGGCTTGGTCCAGGGTAGCACGATCAGGTCCGGGGTGGAGTGCCTGCGGAATTCCAGCCATCCTTTGCTGAAAGTGACGATCTGCAGCTCTTCGAGTCGTCTCCCCGGAAACCCTCAGAGCAGTGATTGCCACTCCTAAGACTGCTGCAGAGGTGATCAGTTTGCCCTACTCGTCTCGCTGTCGCACATCATTGCTGATGGGTTCCTAACCTGAAGAAGGAAAATGGCCACAAGGGTGACCCCATGATCCTCGAAGATGTGAGAGGTACACCTACTACAGGATCTTCCACATGCTGACGCGCAAGCTGACACCAGTCCTTTCCCTAAGACCGCAACGAAAGTTGGCTTTCCATCAAGAGCGTTTGTGCGCTCTTGGCCGGCACTCGGCTTAGTGCCACATCTGCTTTGCGGTGCTTTGCGAGCCTCGCACTTGGTGATTTCTGGCAGCTTCCAGGCCTGAATACGAGTTCATCTTCTCGCCAGCATATGTGCTCAACTCCCTTACAAGCAAATTTTTATGGGGAAGACCAAAATGCGGGATCCTCAGCATAAAATCGCACTTTGATGACTTTTCGCATGATGCTCTTCGAAGGCCGTGCCTATGTCATCAATATGGAGAAGGTCAAACAACGTGGCAGTGGCAGTCGTGATGCTCGCATTTTTGACCGGCGTGTCCGGTGAGCAGGTCCAAGCTGCCAAGCGGACTCTGCCAGCCGTGCCTCTCTCGACGAGACTCGGGCTGGCAGCGCCCAAGCCTCAGCGGATGTTCAAGATGGAAGTGAAGCACTGAGGAACGACATCGTAACGTCGAGTGTTGCAAGGCTCTTCGGTGCTCGTGCAGTGCACTCAAAATCCTGTTTGGGGTTTACTTTAGCCAGTTCCAAGACCACTCAGCACTTTGCTGAGGCTTGTTCCATGGCCGTGAACTTCCGTGGACGCCTGGCAAACCTATCGGAGGTAGGTCGCATCTCAGTTAGCGCTGTGCTGGTTGCACATGTGTGCCTCTGTCTCTATGTCGTCTTTCTGTGTCCCCTTGCTGCTCTCGGTTTGTCTGTTGTTCGCCTCTTTGAGTATGCGTGCGTTTGGAAGACCTACATTGGACCTGCATAGGTGTGGCTAAGTGGTGGGTATGCTTACGGGTACGAGCAGGAAGATGCTGGCAACTACCAGGCGAGGCGCTTAACATTTCGGCGAGTGTGGGTAGTGGTCCTCGCAAGGGCTTGCTGCATGGTGTCACTGCTCCTTGCTTAGGGTCTACTGTGGTTTGGTCCCGATGACATCTCGGCCCCGAGTCTGGTCCGGGCAGCGCTGGAGCAGGGAAGCCAGCAGGGAGTCTATCGACGATGTGGCAGCGATCCAGCAGCTTGCACCTCCATGGCGTCATTTGGCATCCCGCTGCTGCCCCCGACTCACCCTCAATGTCAAGGTTGGCCAACTGCCCGGCTTTTGGGAGATGCTTTGCTCACGCCTGGCGGTCTGCTCCTGAAAGCAGTCAAGTCCATGGTATTGTGTTTATGAGAATATTGCTCGTCAGGTCATAACCAGCTGGGTTTTTGAAGACGAGCCGATGTTGGAGGGGTGCACGATGGGGCTGCACCTCCCCCATTTCGACTTGGATGAGGCCAGGAAGTCTCTTCCCGGTCTTCCACATAAGCTGCTCGTGCAACAGGTTAATTCGGACATGGCCGTAATCTTCAGACCGCGACCAGGACAACAGGCAGCCTGAGGCCCAGTAGTGCGGTGTTCTGAGGACACATGCGAACCGATTTCCCACAAGGCATCACAAGGCATCTAAGCAACTTCGCCGAGTGAGGTCATGCTGTTCACAAAGGACCTGAATGTGGACGTGCTAGCGACGGCACCGGACAGTGTCCTCGGAGAGCCTGTCGTATTCTCTGCATCACAGGGAAAAAGAACCTTACGGCCCGACTCACGGCTGATAGGACACATAGGCGGTTTGCCGGGCTGAGAGCGACTCTGAGAGCGCCAGGCCTTGCTGATGTTAGAGCGAGGCATCTCCTTTGAAGAAGCATGGACCTTCTGCGAGAAGCTTTGATCTCAGATGCGATGTCACCCGAGTTGTGACTATTGCGTGTGGGGCTCTGCACAGTAGCCCCAAGATGCCGTTTCAAACCACAGCAGATGTTTTCCCGAATGCGTAGCAGAAGGGTTCCCGTTTTAAAGGTTGGGGTCCAGGGGTCCAATCGTTGACCAGCGATCGTTGCTAAAGCGTTCGCAAAGCGTTCGCAAGCGCGCCTCCGCGGCGTTCCGAATCCGTCAAGCTAAGGGGGAACTCCACAGGGCACGCGT